ATCTCGGTTCGGTACTGTTCTCTCAAAGTTACAATACGGAGAAGAGAAAGCCATTGCTTACGCATCAAGAAAGCTATCAGATTCTGGGCGCCCTTATTCAGTTGGGGAGGAAACTTGCTTGAGTTTGTGAAAAATGGCCCATGTTCCGTCGTCATTTCACTCTACAAACTCATTATTTCGTCCTTACCGTTCTCCTCAGTTGTCTAAAGGATCGCGCCTATTGCGAATCGATCGTTGGTATGTCAGACTCCTCAACTACGTTTTTCAAATTGTGTTCCGACAGAGTTTGCAAAACCAGATGGCTGATGAATTATTACGCTTACGCGTGCGGTTGGAAGGCGACAAGCAGAGACTCAGAGAGACAGTATTAGTTTCCAGATTGGGAGACAACCTATCTACCTTGACGATAGATGAAGTACGGATGGAAAGTGCTAACGAATATATGCAACAGGGATTGCCCAATAACAACAAAGTTCCCGGTGAGTTTATTCCGTATTCCGCAATTTGAGATGATAATAATAATAGTAACAATAATAATAATACTGCATATTCTCGATTTTATAGGTGATATATGGTTGTCTGATATGTGGTTCGCTGTGTGTAGTTCCACCTCATTTGGTAAACAAAATAATCCTCTGAGTACATAAGGGACACCCAGATATCATTAGGACCAAAAATCAAGCGAGACTACTTTTGGTGTTTACGAATGGCATCTAAAATTGAGACAAATGTGATGAACTGTAACATTTGCCGATTGGCGGACAAAAGTTCTCCGTTAGTCAGAGCCCCGATAGAGCCGAGAACTTACCCGATGAAGCCGTGGGCTAAAAGCGCGATTGATATTATGGGCCCTGTTGCCACTGCCCTTATGGATAACTACTTGTTGCTACATGTTTTTACAGTAAGTAGCCTGAAGTCCACACATGCGATCGACTAGTTTGGTTGTTCCCTTGACTCAACCACTCGTTTAGTCGTTTCGGACCACCGGAAGAAATAGTCACGAAAATTGGAACTCAGATATGTAGCCACGACTTTCCAGGTTTCCTCGAGTGTCGTAAAACATTCCAGAACTGCACAAGCCTGCGACTAATGCCATGGTCGAGCGGCTAAACCGATTCATCAAAAAAGCCATACAGGCTATCTAATTAGGAGGGATGGACTGGGAAGATGTTGTTTCAGCTACTGTATTTTCCTACAGAACTTGTGACCACAGAGATATCGGAAGAACGCCGGCGGAGCTGAAGATAGGAAGGCCGTTACGCATGAAACTAAATGCTTCATAATATTTATCATCTGTGAGAGGTGCATAGTAGTTTACGAAAATTCCTAGATTGGATTGTAATGCATCAGCGTTTGTAGCAAGCAAAAACAATGATGCCGTCGAGTTTAGTCTAGAATGCCATCACCATATTCTTTTCTCTTTACTTTCCCATTTAGTCTTCGGTGTTTTTAGTACAGTCCTCTGTGCGTTTTCACATCATCCTTTCAGTCAGTTCGGACAGCTGTGACAACACCGCCCAGCTCGCCACTAGGTGTAAGTCAGGTGCACCACCCATCTAGCTCCAACTTACTAGGTAGCTGTAGATAAAGCTATATAGCCGCCTAGGAAGTGTAAATAAATAAACCTTCATTCTCGACAATGCGAGGCACACCTTTACAGGCATAATCAGGTTAACCTAACATAGTATGTTCAAAAATGTACGAAAATACATATTTGGCATAACAGGGAATGTGGGTATAGGTGTATATACGTATGTAATCGTGTATGAATGTAGCTTGTGTTTGTGAATGTGCCGCAGCATTTTAATCGTCAGGAATGCGAGAATAAGCAATTGACCTCCGTGGTTAAGATAGCATTTCCCGTATATCCACGGGGCAGTGGCTTTAGTTTGGGACGAATCACATCCGCCACGTCGCAGTGTTGATAAGCAGACATTTGTGGCTTTTTATAGGGAGAAGTCGGTCCACTGCGATTCTCCTACGTCTTGTAAATAGCCGGTGGCCGAGTGGTTCGCGCATGGTTTGTAACCATAAGGTCACCATTTCGAATCCACGTAGGGGTGGGCGTCCACGCGGTATACTCAGGCACACGCGACTGTTGGTGGTCGCGTGGAAGCGAAGCGCCGTTACGGCGTACAGTTGGCAATTTATTCTGATTATTTTATTAGCCTGGAATATACGTGCGCGTTAAAAAAAGCGGGCTACGCCACAAGGCCTTCCAGCGCTATCGGCATTAATGAGAATCACACAGAGAGTTCGCCCATGGATTTATCGAATAGATAACGGCCTAATCGTCAACCCACGTCGGCCCCACACGGCACATGGATCAACTACGCAGTCTCACCAAAATACGTGTGATGAAAGGCCGAATCACCACTATCAGGAAACCAGCAACGTCAATCCACCAGAACATCAAGGCCTAGAGATCGATGGTAGCCTGTGGGACGAGCTTATTTGAAGATGGGAGTGATGTAGTTGCCCACAGAAACAAAAGTACTACACTCATTTTTCAATGACTAGTTGGAGCACACTGCCTCTCTTCCCGTTGGCTGTGTTAAATGCCGGAGTGATCGACCGGTAAACTCTGCTACGTGCTGATATTGCACTGATTGAGTACCTACATCTATCCAACATTTTTCGCTACTTTCCTGATACAACAGACACCAGGCCTGGAAAAGTGCACCGAGAATGAGGACTAAGTCATGAATTCGCAATGCTCCCTAAGGAGATGATAGAAACTGTGTACATTGCTCACTTCTAGAGGGAAAACTGAGTGAGCAATGCTGAGGTTTGCCAGTTGGTTATTGGCAAGAAACCTCCTGGTGCCGCCCTCGAGTGTTTGCTGAATCTTAAGCGCTTACGTTGGCGACGCTGCGTCCTCCGTATGCCAGTTGACCGGCTACCTCGGCGGGAATTATACGCCATGACTGCAACAAGTTGGGCGGAACATCGAGGTGGCCAGTCCATGACGTGGCATAGTGGCATGAAGAAATTGACTGAGAGACTTAGTCAGGCTGCCAAGTGCCTTTTTCGTAGATAAGGGCCTCGGGGTTGTGCATACCAAAGGTTGGAGACCGTATCCGACATGGCGCAGTCACGTAGTCTGTGATGTGCCAGCATTTGGTTTCTTACAACTGAGTGTTAATATCCGTTCCATTCTGACTAGTTTAACGCACTTTCTTCTCGTTTCCATTTTCTTTACACTATACTTACCGTTACCCTACTAACTTGTCGTTGTTATTCTTGAGATGTGAGCTATGGCAACTGGATCCACCACAGTTTGGTGCTCGGGTCATAGTTGTTCAACTGAACTGAACCGAACTGAAACAGATTATCGACTTCTGGACTTGGAGGACGCCGATGATATTAGCAAATTTGACAATCAACGATAGTGAGCCAAGCGTTGGATGTCAATTGTTTTGGTCTTAGTCCCGCACCATCAGAATGTCAAGATGCTCTCCAGAATTGGAAAAGACCACCGCATGCACCGACCTGGGGATCAGCTAGAAAGTTCAAATACCTGGGCAATTATATCAGTGCTGCGGAAAAGGTCAAAAAACGCATAGCAAAAGCTCGAGGTGCGATGTCAGACTCGACCTGAAGGTTAGGTTCTACAACGCTGTTGCCAGTCAAATCCATCAGGTCTGCATACACAATAAGGACAATGGCGTTCGATCACCGGAGCCTGTGCAGTTTGACTCGTATCTGTTGGAAAGCGACTGAACTAGAAGCGTGTTTCTTGTTGCACTTGTGATTCGTGAAGATGAAGTGAACCAATCAGTAGAGGCTATCTCACGCACTACATGGCTCAGATGGCTGAGTCATGTGGTCCGTATGCCCACATTTTGACTACCGCGATGTGCGTTCTTGGTGCGGCCAGGGGTGGATGGAAAAAGAGAGGAGAGCTAACAACTTGGTCAGGAGGATTAAATGATGGCAATTCGAACTTCGCATCAGTGTCTTTCGACACCACCAGTCGCGCGTAGGCTGAGTATACCACGAGGACGCCCGCCCCTACACGGATTTGAACCGATGACTTATGATTGCAAGACAGGCGTGTAGACCACTATGGTAACGGCCGTAAGTACCGCTGGTCAAACACGGCCAAGCGTTTAATGTCTTCACCGTGAATTGGTCAGATCCTTGATCAATAGAGCAAGACCGGTCTTATAGCAGCGTTATACAGCCTAACTATCATTGATAGGCTGATATCCCACTGTCTCCATTGATAGTTGGTCACTGGAAAGCCACACGGGCCCTGTCGATACGCGAGGTAACAATCTCAGTGATGTGACCACCAGAGGTGACACAGCTACCAAGGTAAGTGAACCGATCCACTAGTTTCTGTGGCTGTTCGGTGGTAGCAAGAACCGGAAGTGTGTCGGTCCAGTCCTGCAACAGCACTTTGAAGGTGCAAAGCACATGCCGAAGAGTGCGGCACTACGGGTCAGTCTATGCAGTAGTGTTTGCATAGCCACTGTGTCAGAACCAAGGAGAGATATGTCGTCCGCACATTCCATGTTTGTCAGTTGGTCACCTGGTAAGACAGAAACAAGAAAACTGTTAAGAACGAAGTAACATCGCGAATAATGTGGATGCATCCATATCAGCAACTTCCTCACTGAGAAGGAATTTCAATGGTTGTAACATTGTTTTCTGACACGTCAAAACAGCGCCGCTGCTTCACGAAGTCGTCGATTTTTGTATGACAACAATCAGACCTATGGTTTCCAACACGTTCAGTAGCGTGAGACCAACTGTGATTCAGTGCTTCGTAAGAGTTAAAAATGAAAGTTTAGATTACAACTGTAGATGAGTCCCAACGCAGAATGTATAGGTGGCCCACTGTCAAATCTACGCATTCATATGGTGAATAGTAAAACCAGTGTTCGGCAAAAGTAGGTAGGGAAGCAAAATGCGCATGAATGACACAGACGAAAAAATCTAGCCCAGTGTAAAATACGCAGTCGACGTTAAAAGGAATGAACTAAAGCACTCACTTTCGCCGACAAAGTCTGGTGACGGGTCGTTTCGATAAGCTTGCATCTTCATATTTGATGTCGTCAGTTCCACTTTCAGACCACTGGGATCAGACCCGTCCAAACCGTACGTCTGTGGGCTCAAACATTGAAAATAGGAGTTGAAGGGGCATGTGAAAATAGAGGCATTTTTCGTAAAACTGTAAGAACCTGGAGGAGAAAATAAGAAATGGATGACATGATGTTGGATCATAAGGTGTGAAAAACACACAGTAGGTGAGGAAGGATAATCGCAAAGGAAAGAACTGAAAGGCGTTCATAAGCCTGTGGTGGTGGTGATTATTTTGAAGAATGCAGAACCCAAGGATGGTCGGTTAGCATATAACACGAAACAGCTATTCGATTGCTAAGAAATAGCCAAACACCAGCTGACAGCAAGGAAACCACGGAACTGTGGGGGTGCCAAGTGCATAGCAAAGAAAGAGATTAGTGTTGGGTTTGCTCGTGACCGGATCTGTCGGTTGGCAAATGTAAGCATCTAGAAAGCGAGGCCCACATAAAAGAATAGCCAACTCTCTATCAGATGGATTTAAACATACAAGAGCTTGCTGTGAAGAAAAGAAACAAAGCTCTTTCACTGGACGATCTTCCTCCATCTTTGGTAAAAAGCAGAGGCGAATCGTTGTTTAGTTGACCTGCCGCGCTATTTAACAGAAGTTCGGATACTGAAGAGGTGCCTTCGGACTGGCGACTGTCAATTGTAGTGCATAACTTCAATTAGAATCAACGGACTTCGCTCGAATATCAATGAAGCATTAGCCTTACTGATATTGTTTCCAAACATTTCACGCGTATCATTTATCGGCGACTTACTTGTCCCCGTGAGAACCGAAGTACTGAAAAGTAGGCTGGATTTCGCTCCAGGTGTAGTTGCATCGCCAAGTGTTAGGGCAGATAAATACCTGCAAAGGAGCGAGCAGGGTGGTTTCTCTCAACTTAAAAACCCCCATCGACCCAGATGATCGAGCCAACTTGTGGCATTCCCTTTCTGTGGAGGGAGCTAGGAAACCCCATTTTGTTCTAAAGTCTATCTAGTTGGTAGCTGCATCTTGAGTTTCCCATGAAAAGCGGAGTTCATCAGGGTTGTCCTATAAATCTTTTCTTCTTCAACTTGGTTATCAAAATGAATGGCTGTTCTTTCATTCTCTTACGGAGTGGAAATTCTGCAAGATCGACTGATAAAGCTTGAGTAGGCGAACGACGTAGTTAGATTGGATAAAATTATTATGCAAGCACCATTGAAGCAGATTGGTGCGTAGTGATGCAACCTTCGGCATGTGGTTTGCACCTTCAAAGTGCTAAGTACTGTTGCAGGACTGAGATGATAGGCCAACGGTCCTCGCTACCATCGAATAGCCACCGGAACTGGTCGATCGGTGCACTTACTGCAGTAGTTGTGTCGCCTCTAGTACTCACATCACTAAAGGAGTTACTTTGCGAAACAGCAGGGCTCGTGTGGCTTTCCAGAGACCCAATGATCGATGAAGACGGCGGAATAGCAGTCTGTCAGTGAAAGATTGAATGTGTAACGCTGTGATAATGCATGACTCGAAGACCTGGTCAATTTGCAGTGAAGATATTAAACTACTGGTCGTGTAAGAACCCGGTGCTTGTGGTGTATTGATCGCATCTGGTGGGAACACCGGATGAGCAATGCTGTATTCCGTCATTTGATGTTTGATAAAAAACCATGGTACCTCACTTGAGTGTCTGATAAAGCTTTACCGCTTGTGTTGACTAGATCGCTTTCCTCCAAGTGCATTATGTGCTGTCGCTGCACCAAGATGGTCGAAACAGCGAGGTGGGCAGTCCATGACGTGGCATGAGAGCGTGAAGAAATGGACTCACAGACGTAGTCAGGCTAGTGCGTGCCGTCTTTTTGGATGGGGGCCCCAGGAAGATCCGCACTAGTGCTTGGAGATTAACAGACATGACGCAATCGCGCACTCAGTGGCGTCCATGCACTCGGTCTCTTAAATCTAGCTGTTAACTTTCGTTCCATCCCTTATTCATTAGATGCACTCTACTTGTATTCTATTCTAAGGAACTTTATATCCTAGGAGGCTGAAAAAGACATGTGGAACTGATGTGAGACCACACCTAGTCGACGAAGAGATGCGCACCACCCCCCCCCCTCAAGGGACTGAGATCAGACTGCAAACGGTAAGCCCGAGTCAGCCCCAAGGAACATGACGGTGATGTCAGCTCAAAAGCGTGGAAACTGGTGTGCGCACCAGATTTAAGCATTCACTAAATAAGTACGAAAACTGCCAGTGTAAGTGACGATTTAACTTGGGAATGGTAGTTCTTGCGTGCGCCGCTTGCTGTTCTTTCTTGGCGAATTAATCGGGCTCCAAAACACTAACAAGAAAACACTAGCAGTTCATAAAATTGCTCATTGCTCTCGGCAATAGGATACTTACTGCTCGTTCCCAAGTGCTTCCTATTCATTATATTTCTTATTTCTATCGTGGCAACGTGAGATGAGTCAGCTGAGTCTATAATCGCTTAAGGGTGTTTGGATCAATCAAATTTATCAAAATTGTCGGTGGTTTTTCGAGGGTTACGAACAATGGTTGAAGGGATCCGGTTAGCATGAATACACTATTCTCGAGGCCGCAAATCGCTGACAGTAATGACAGTCAGGGTGGAGATGGTACATGCAACGTCATGCAAGAAAACGAAAAGGAAAGTAAACGTGAAGCAGAGTGGGTATGTGACTTCATCATCCACCGCCTCTCAGTCACCTGTGCTAACACCGGTGGCTGCAGATTATGCCACAGACCCTCGAGCTGACGGAAAAAACCAAGAACGGATAAAAAAACTCGAGTAGCTGAGTTCAAACGGAAATGTAAGCGGTAACAGATAAGAGTGATATTGTTAAGGTATTGAAAATATTGATAACAACGTAGGAATAAAAGTAGGCGGTTTTGAATGTAAGCAAACACGAGCACTGTGCCAAGGGTGAAAATCAGGGCGGCAGTGGGTTTAGTTCAAAACGACACACACAAGGAAGGTTTACGGAGACTAGTACAATGTTTACGAAAGTTCCGGGTGAAATACTGGAGAGAGCATTTCAACCATCATGCCACAGCCAACGCAGTAAATGTGCGCTGTGTGGAAGTATCGATCTGGTTACCGAGAAAAGCAGCGATCCAAGGTGTGCGAAAACAAATACACACTCGTCGAAGTGGACGAACAAAGTGAGAGACTTAGAGTAATAGCACAAAGATCAATAACTCGGTCTGCAGACAAATACGCGTATGGTAAATGTACACAGAGTCGATGAGGCTGAATACCTCTCTAGTGGACAGTGTAATGCGGCTTTGTTGAAAGAACGCGCACTTATTAGCACTGCTGTTAGAGCAGATACCGGCATTATAGCGATGTGATGAGCAGACCAAACTGGAACTTGAGAATTCAGGCATTGGTTTAATCATTTCACCCAGGCAAGATTATTAAAAAGCGACACGCAGTGTTAGCGATGCGCACAGATATTGGGGGGATAAAATGAAAGTTGGGACTTTTGAACGCCTCAAAAGTGTGGGGATAACAGCGGTAGCATGTTGGTAAGGGGTGACGAATTACCCAGGACTTTGCAGGGACGAGTGCACATGGTATAACCTTGAAAATCTTCAACTACACACAATAAAATAAAAATGCGAGTGGTTATGGCCGAGGAGCTTATTAAATTGAAAGCATTGCTCAGGAAACCGCTATTAATGCCACAATCATACACGGGGGTTCGGAGTGTTGCTGTTTGCCTAAATCCAAGCACCTCAGACCACATAAAGCCAAAAAGCGAACTCGTGAAACAGTGTCTCAGTGATTCTCGAATAGGTAAAGCAAAATATGGAAAGCGCATGAATGGTTATTGGACTTGCCGTTATTCTTAGCATCTGGGAACGAATCGTTGTTTATGGAGAAGGTAAAGTTTATGAATTCCAAACTGAAGTGACTCGTGGTAGAATTAACGAAGAGTAGTTGCAACGTCCAAGGTTCCCCACTGGGTCCTCTATTCCAAGAGAGATCCAAACGCTGTTCCTTCCATGAGCAAAAACCACTACTATTCGCCGGATTCGAAGAGTTACTGAACCAAGTGGTCACCTTCCATAGATTACCCTTAAGTAAGAATACAACAATAAAATAACAAGATAGTTGCAATTGGGTTGTCCATGTTGCGCGTTTATTATGGATTGGGACAAGTAAGACTGGCATCGAGTAAGGTAACAAAAATGGAAGGAAAAAACAACATAAAAATCTGGAAATTGTGTCAACCAAGCCGTGACCCTAAAGTGGGGGAAAATGAACGCCGTTATCCATCCGTGAAATTTAGTGGTGAACACAACACAGACGGTCAGATGGAAAGGCGAGGTCAAGTGAGTTGAGAAAATAGAATTCGAAGACCGAGAAGCGCTTAATTAAGCCAATTTTATCCACACTGGAATAATAGCGGAAACTAACAGAAATAAAAGAGAAAACTGTCACTTGTTATTACGGCTATACTATAAGTAGGGCGAACACAAACTCGTAAACCATCAGACAGCCGTTAGGACAAACGATCTCCAGTGAATCACTAAGGTATACAGCGTTCATAGGACACAAAAGAGCGCGAATTCGATTCAGTTCAGCCTGTCGATTATTACCGATCCATGCCTTTATTGTGAACATAATAATAATAATAATAACAGCAATAATAATGTAAAGTAGATGGGTGAGAAATAAAACCTTCGAATAGAATACGTGAGAATAGGAAATGAGGTGGCCACTGATTTTATGACTGCGCCATATCCAATAAGGTATGCACCTACTCATGTGGCTGATGTCGGGGAATCTGTCCGGCAGAAATTGAAGAACCAACCTGATACAGCCTTCGATTGGCTTTTTCGTGTTCGATTCCCATGCAATCTTGGGGTTTCACCCCGGATGACGATAACAGCAAACAACGCATGCGGACAGAAAACTAGTGGCTAGCTGGGTCAATCCGACGTGTTGTTCGAAGTATGACAATGAAAATGAAGTTGAACGATATTTATGAGCTGAATCCCTCAGGAGAAACAAACAAGTTGGGCAAGTAAGCACGGCGGAAAGAGTGAAATCATCAAATGGGCAGGTCAAGATTTAAAAGAGACATAACAGCTACGTGCTATGGATCCACTAAGGAGCGACATATCAGTCTTTAATCGCTGGTGCCACTGCACTGAGCAGGCTCTTCGTGTTTCTTTAGAGTGATAGATTATAGAGAGTGATAGATTATAGGCAAAAATGTGCAGAGGTAAGTAGTTAACTGAAGTGTGCACGTGGCCAAAGTAAAGCAGCCTATTTACATCTAACAGATGATATGGTGAACAAAGATAGAACGTACGGTAAGCACCAGATGATGAACATCGGCGTTACCCATCAAGCAGTTTCATCAAACATTCGTCATCAACATCAATAACAGTAATAGAGCCGTAATAGGAATTGATGCTTCCCTGCCATGCAATTATAATGAAGTAAGAAACGAAGAATATGGAGAGAAGGCAGTGTATAACTCCACTGCTTAAGCAAATCTTGCTAATACACGGTCACAAAGTGCCGCTTATCATGAGAAGCTAAATCGGCATCAACGGGACAGCTTCCTTTAAGCTTGCACTGCTCAGTGTCACAACCTGTCTAACCCCACAGGCAACTCAGCATCAGACACCACTAAATCAGGCACTCTAAATCAAATCGGATTAACAACAATGATACCGGCAATGAAATACGGTGGAACCGGCTGCAAATAATGATGTCGCCAGAATGACATTAAATAACTGGCGAGAAATGAGGAAGAATACAAGTGGAAGAGAAATAAAGGGCATGAAAGAAAGGAGTGGACGCAACTATTCCAGGTGGGATATTACCAGCTGAACGCAAACGACCGTTCGCAGAAAGATATATAGCACTGTGCCATGTACCACAAAACCTCAAGCAACTGGTGTGCGCCATCCCGAGGCTCCCATCCACGAATACTACATGCACCAAACTTGCCTAACCTCGCGGCTTCGCTCAAATTAGTGAAGCAAGAGGACCATAGCAGGTTGTATTATATATCACCGCTACCACATTGATAATGCCGCGCTCAGTAAAATCCGGCTCGCTGAGCGAGGTAAGTTGCATGAAGCAGGTACTGGCTACACATTCTACTGCGTGGGCAACGCCGCCTCAGCACCACGTGAACCTGGGGTCAGGTTTGCAATATACGATCGCCTCCATGGTCAGCTCGTAAGTGAACAAACAGGCATCAGCGCGCGACTGATGACTGTTCGCCCACGACTCGGAAGAGGTATGTTTGCCACGTCCATAACCACGTAGGGTCCGACCACGTATTACCCTGATGACACGCGTGATCATTTCAACACTCGGCCATCCTCCGTGATATGGTCTGTGCCGAGGAGCGACCGATTTCAACGCGCGCGTTGGGCGTGATGCATCAGGGTGGACAGATGTTATCGGTTCGCATGCCATTGGTTCAGCGAACGATGACAGGCTACTCTCACTGTGTGCCACTCATGACCCGAAGATCACGAACACTCGGTTTGCAATGAGTGCGAGTGATATAGCAACTTGCACACCTTAGCAGTGGTTACACTCACCTACTCGACTATGTCATTGTACGTCAGCGTGATATGCGTGAAGTGCGCATGACACGGGTACTGCGTGGAGCTGAGTACGTCGCTGATCACAAATTGGTGCAGACCAAACTGTAGTTTCGTAAATCTATGTATTGCACTCCTGCCGTGAATCGACGTAAATTTAACATTCTCTCCCTCGGTACTGTGGCGAAACGTATTGAGCTGGAGAAGGCGATGGTTGCAGGACTATGTGATGTGGAATACATAGCCACAGTGGGCGACTGTTGCACCACATTCGCGACCAGGTGACAGCTGGTACCGAGGAGACCATCGGGCGCGCAAACTGTAAACGGTTTGATTGGTTTAAAGAGAACAATGCGACGATTGTCACATTGGCGTCGGAGAAGAATGCAGCACTTGCTGCACATGTGGCAGACCCCAGTGACTTGGGGAAGAGTAGTCAGTTTCGCGAACTTCGACGGCGACTGACCCGAGAGCTCCGTCATATTAAACATGTATGGTGGACGGAGAAGGCGAAGCAGATGGAATGCTACGCTGAACACCGTCAACACAGGGAATTCTTTGACTCTTTGAAGGCGGTGTATGGACCGAGATTGGAGCCGCTGAGGACGCTGATCCATGGTAGTTCAAGAGCTACCTACACACAGACTGCACACATACTGCGGATCTGGCGAAAACACTTTGACTATCTCTTGAACAACCGTTCAGAGATCGACTTGCCTATTTGAACGGTCTCAAGCAGCACGATGTGAAGGCAAGTCTGGCGGACACGCCGACACTGCGCAACGGCAAGTGTGGCCGTGCCGACGGGATGCCGCCTGAAGTATTAAAAACACGGCGGACCTGCGTTGATGACTGCGCTGCACCACTTAGTGCAACGCGTGTGGTTTGAGGAGGAGGTGCCTACTACGAAGTAGGATGCCATTGTGCTATCACTGTATAAGGTCAAAGGGAGCAAGCAATGTTGCACGAAGTATCGCGACATCAAACTGCTAAGTTGTGTGGGCAAGTGATTGCCCGAATTCTGCTCAACCGCCATGTCAGTCAGGTTGTGGAACCTAACATGGCGGAAGAGCAATGTGGATTCTGTTGGGGTCGTAGCACTATAGATATGATGTTTGCGGCCCGTCAGTTGTAGGGGAAGTGCAGAGAACGACACCAGCCATTGTACTCCCTTTTTGTTGATTTCACCAAAGCATTTGATACAGTTGATCACAAGGCATTGTGGCTGGTATCGGTAAAGCTTGGTTGCCCGCGTAAGTTAGTAAGTTTAATTAGATGTACAGTGGTATGCCGGCGAGGGTGCAGCTGAGTGGAGAGACTTCGGATGACTTTGCAGTTGTCACTGGTGTGAAACAAGGCGGTGTCTTGTCTCCTGCTCTGGTTAATAGTCATATTCATGCACTGATGTCTTGTGCTTTTGATGCCGCTTGTGATTATAGTTTTCGTGTGGTGCACTGTATTGACGGTGGATTACTGAACATCCGTCATTTCGGGGAGAGAAACCTAGTGTGTAAGACATCCATCCATTTACTGACGATTGCCGACGATTGTTCATCACGTGACTTTGGTTCTGGTTTCGACAGCGGCGAAATTCGGGCGAAGCATCAACACAAGCAAGATTGTTCGACTTCTTCAGCCTTCACCAGGAATGCAGTCCATGAGCCTTCCACAAATCCAGATGGTTATGACGTATTGGAGACATCATCGAAAGTTTGCAACCTTAAGATCGTAATATCGACCGACTTGCAGATGTATGAGCTGCGCGTCTGCGCATTTAAGGTGGCTGCTGCGTTGGGCAAGCTGGGAAAACGTATGCGAAACAACCACGAACTCGCGGTTGGAACGAAGTTAGTAGTTTACAAGTCGATGGTGTTGTCCGTTCCTGTACACAACAGTGATAAGTGGACGATGTACCGGAAGGACGTCAGATTTCTGGAGCGGTTTCATCAAGTGTCTGCGACGGATTCTACGTAATGCCTGGGTAACCGAGTTGCAGACACAGAAGTACTGTGCCGCAATGGCATGTATGCAGTGAACTGCACACATCTGCGGCCTATTTGAGGTGGCTGGAGCATATCAACAGCACGGATTCTACGTGGATACCCAAGCAGCAGAGCTTTTTCATGCACCTGGGCAACCGCTGTCTTGATCAGCTCACGCCATTCACGACGATCAACAGCCCTCTATTCCAAGCACCAGAAAACAACATTAGTACGTGATAAATTCCTCTTGAGCATGTGTTGGTAACTTCTCTTCGGGTTCTCCACGTGCCGCTTCCCTGCAATGTTGTTTTTTGGTGCTTGGAATCAGGCAGTTGATCGGCGCGAATGGCGTGAGCTGATCACGAGGGCGATTGCCCAGGTGCATGAAAAAGCCCTGCTGTATGCAGAAAAGAAACGTCCGTTGAGAAAGCGACAGACGTAAATGATGGATAGCGCATCGACGTCTAACGCATTGTGCTGTAACACACGCGGTCGTGAGTGCCTGAGCCAAGCGGGCCTG